TTTCCATATTCACACCTGCAGATTTCAGATTTCCAATTTCCCCTTTCCCCATCACACCTGCACATTCCAGATTTCCAATTTCCCCTTTCCCCATCACCCCTGCACATTTCAGGTGTTCCCTTTCCATATTCACACCTGCACATTTCAGATTTCCAATTTCCCCTTTCCCCATCACCCCTGAACATTTCAGGTGTTCCCTTTCCATATTCACACCTGCAGATTTCAGATTTCCAATTTCCCCTTTCCCCATCACCCCTGCACATTTCAGGTGTTCCCTTTCCCCATCACACCCAGGCCTCAAGGAGGTGACATCCACTCCAGTGCAGGCAATGGCAGCTCCCTGTCCACTCGAGGGAACATTTAAAAACCTGATTTTCAAGCCCACTGAATGAAACAGGAACAAGCCCTGACAGCTGAGAAATCTGAGTTCCATTTGTCAGCGATGGAGGAGGCAGCAGTGCCACTCCCCAGCACCTCACCACACCTGCCTGAAGGATTACCAGCTACCTAAACACTTCCTTTTGTGCTGCTGTACCCGACAGAATTAATATTTTACACTCTGAGGCACAATAAGGCCGAACACACAGCTCAGAGATTATCCCAAACTTCATTAAATGGGTGTTGACCAAGGATTTTCCAGGTTGCAGCTCAGCCCTGCTCTGACAGCAGCCCCAGGGCTGGGGGGAAGCAGGAGCTGGAAGGAATTACCAGCCAGGAGGGTGGAATTCATTGTGTTTGCCACTGCTGCAGGACCTGCCAGTCACCCTGATTCCTCCTGAGCTGCTGGGGGTGACAGAGCAGAGCTGCCCCTGCTCCTCACTCCAGGGAAATGCTCCTGTCACTGACTCCAGCTCAGCCCAGGAGAGCAAACCCCTCTGGCAGTGTGGGATGTGCTGGGTCTTTAGGAAAAAGGAGGAAATGATGGAGCTGAGTTTATGTTTTTAGAAGGTTATATCTCTTTCCCTGAGATATAATTATTATATTATTATCATCATCATCATCATCATCATCATCATCATCATCCTAAATATCTCCCTGAGGGTCCCTCAGGAGCACATCCGAAGCCAGGGACACAATTCCTGCACACAATTCCTAAATATCTCCCTGAGATAATAATAACAATAATAATAATAATAATAATAATAATAATAATAATAATAATAATAATAATAATAATAATAATAATAACAACATCTCCCTGAGGGTCCCTCAGGAGCACACCTTGAGCCAAAAGACACAATTCCCACTCACAATCCCCACTCACAATTCCTTCACACAATTCCTGCTCACAATCCCTGCTCACAATTCCTGCACACAATTCCTGTTCACAATTCCTGTTCACAATCCCTGCACACAATTCCTGCTCACAATTCCTGCACACAATTCCTGTTCACAATTCCTGTTCACAATCCCTGCACACAATTCCTGCTCACAATTCCCTCACACAATTCCTGCTCACAATTCCTGCTCACAATTCCCTCTTACAATTCCTTCACACAATTCCCTCTTACAATTCCTTCACACAATTCCTGCACACAATTCCTGCTCACAATTCCCTCTCACAATTCCTGCTCACAATTCCTTCACACAATTCCCTCTTACAATTCCTGCTCACAATTCCTGCTCACAATTCCTGCTCACAGTTCCTGCACACAATTCCTGCATACAATTCCTTCACACAATTCCCTCTCACAATTCCTGCTCACAATTCCCTCTCACAATTCCCTCTCACAATTCCTTCACACAATTCCTGCTCACAATTCCTGCTCACAATCCCTCTCCCAATTCCTTCACACAATTCCTTCACACAATTCCCATTCACAATTCCTGCTCACAATTCCCACTCACAATTCCCTCTCACAATTCCTGCTCCCAATTCCTTCACACAATTCCTGCTCCCAGTTCCCTCTCACAATTCCCCAGTCTCTCCCTGCAGAGGCTGCTGAGGGCCCAGAGCTGCCTCCTGCCCAGGCCAGCTCCCATCAATGGTGAATAAAAGGCTCTGGTCCCACTGAGCCCGTGCCAGCAGAGACTCTCCAGAGCTGAATCAACATTTGCCTCAGCGGGGGATTTTCAGCTGCTCTATTTAAATGCTGAATTTTCTTTTTCATTTCGATGCTTAACTCATAAAAACTGAATTTATTTGGGTTGGGTGCCGATGGCTGCAAGCACAGCTGCTCACCAGCTCTCTCTGCTTGCTATGTAAATGCATGAGGAGAGGATTTAAAAGCCTTTTCCAACCTGCCCAGCGCTGGGATTTGGGTTTTCTTCCTCTCTTCCTGCTGTGCTGATGCACCCAGGGTGCCCCAAAGCCCAGCACCCTCCCAAAGCAGAGCTGTGGAAAAAGTCTCATTCCCTGCTTATAGAGAACTCTCCACTTGGAAAATCCAAACTCTGACAGTATTCCTGAAGCTCTGGACCTGCAATAACCAAAGTCTGAGAGTGTTCCTGAAATTCTGCACTTGGAATAACCAAACTCTGACAACATTCCTGAACTTCTGCACCTGGACTAACCAAACTGACAGCATTCCTGAAGTTCTGCCCTTGCAATAATCAAACTCCAACAGCATTCCTGAAGCTCTACCCTTGGAATAATTCTAACAGCAATGCCTGAAGTACTGCACTTGGAATAATCAAGCTCCAAAGCATTCCTGAAGCTCTGGACCTGCAATAACCAAAGTCTGAGAGTGTTCCTGAAGTTCTGCACCTGGAATAACCAAACTCTGACAGCATTCCTGAAGTTCTGGACCTGCAATAAACAAACTCTGACAGTGTTCCTGAAATTCTGCAATTAGAATAACCAAACTCTGACAGTGTTCCTGAAGTTCTGGACCTGGAATAACCAAACTCTGGCAGCATTCCTGAAGCTCTGGACCTGGAATAACCAAACTTTGACAATGTTCCTAAGTTCTGCACTTGGAATAATCAAATTGACAGCATTCCTGAAGCTCTGCAATTAGAATAACCAAACTCTGACAGCATTCCTGAAGTTCTTCAATTAGAATAACCAAACTCTGACAGCATTTCTCAAGTTCTGCACTTGGAATAACCAAACTCCAGCAGCATTCCTGAAGCTCTGGACCTGGAATAACCAAACTTTGACAATGTTCCTAAGTTCTGCACTTGGAATAATCAAATTGACAGCATTCCTGAAGCTCTGCAATTAGAATAACCAAACTCTGGCAGCATTCCTGAAGCTCTGGACCTGGTGTAACCAAACCCTGCCCCAGGGAGGGGCTCTGGCAGGAGCAGGGGTGGGCTGGAGCCTCCTTCCCCCTCATTTCCAGTTCTCTTGGGTGTCACAAGCACCGACCATTCCCCGCTCTGCCTCTCATGGAACACCAGACCAGCTCCTTTGTCCCAGTTCTTTCCAGCCTTATGTTTCCATCCAGGGCTGCATCCAAGCTCTAATGAAATCAATTCTTGGATCAGAACCAGGGATTCTCTGCCAGCACGGGGGTTTGAAACCCTCAGCACCGCTCAGCACCCACGGAACAAATGAAATAAATCTGGGGATTTTTGAGGAAACCTTTGTGGCTCAGGCATTGCCCGGCCTGTGTTAATCTGTGCTTTAACTCAGAAATAAAGCTGAGTTTATCCCCCCAGCCCAGAGCCAGGCCTGCTCTAACGGGTTTAACCCACTTTCTAAAGACACTGAATTATTTCCAGCAGACTCTTTACCTCGATGAGCCCAGAATTAGCCTGAGCCTTTATGGGACATTTTATTGGCCAAAGCAAATCTGACCTGGTGAGATTTACCAGCTTTATTAGCAGCAATAACAATTTTACTGTCAACAGCAGTAAATCAGGGTTCATTGGGAACTCTACCACTTTTATCTGGAGCAAGCAATTAAAATGTCAGGTTTTCATTGGACATAATTCCTGCCTTCCACAAAAGACAGGCTCCCTGTTTAAGTGGGGAATGTAAAGCTGCCAGTTCAAAGAAATCCAAAATTCTCAGTAAAATTCAATCAGACCGAGGGTGTTTGGGGAGCCACACCTGTGGAGGTTTATTTTGCCTCCAAAGCAGATCCATTTTCCAGAGCACACATTCAGCAATTCCCTGCAATGCACCATCCATTTTCCTGGTAACGAGTGAAAATACCAGAGAGCTGAGGAGAAGGTGGGAGCAGAGATTGCACTGGCACAGCGAAACCTGCACACAAACCCAGCCACTCACTGAGCCCATCTCTGCCTCATTTTCCTCTCCTCGAGCACTTCTGCCTCACTGCTGGTGCCTCTGCATTTCTCCTCTTTATTTCCAGGGACATCTGCTGCAATCCCTTCTCATTAACTAAAAGCACACATTTCTCTGGGGTTTATTTTCCTTTCCTTCCTTCATTACCAACCCCAGCCACGCTGGGGAAAAGGGGCAAAACCAACTCCTGGGTGATGCAGCAGCTCTCATTCCCCAGAAGGTGCTGCAGGGAACTGCAGGGTGCAATTAAAAATTCAACATTTCCTTGGCTTTTAAAGCCCCTGCAGCAGATTTTTAAACAGGACCCACCCCAAACCTCTCCCTCCAAGAGCAGCCTGGTTATTGCCATTTTAAGGCATCCCCATGGTTTTCCTGTTAAGACCCAGCTCTCATCACAAAAAGCCTGTTTAAAGCGAAGCCAAACCCCACCAAATTATTACTTGCAGCAGATTTTCTCTCCCCAGCAACCATTTATCACAATATTTTTAGGTTTGCCTTTTACTTTGCCTTGTTTTTTTTTTTTTTTTGAGGAGGAAAGTAATTCCTGGGAAAATGTGCAACAATCTGCTTTCAGTTTGAAAGCACGGGGCTTGAAAATCGTCTGAAAACCAGAATTTCCCCGCAAAACAGTCCAGAATTTGGATAAAAAGCCACGTTTTTGTAAAGCTAATGAATCAAAAGGGGACACTTGAAGCGTTCTGGGGGAGAAGAGCAGCAGCACCAGCACTGCACAGGAGCTGAGCCCTGTGCTGCCCCCATCCCCAAGGTTTTCCCTGAGCCCCTGTGCCCACCCCGAGCTCACCTCGGCGGCGGGGACGCCCTCGGGGGGCCGGCAGTGCAGGACAATCATCCCCTCGATGGGAACCTCCTTGCCCTGGGGGTCTTGCTCGAAGTTCTTCCGTAGATCTGCAGGGTTGGGGGAAAGAATTCATCAGGATTGGCAATCCTTGGATGCAGGAATTCACCAGGATTGGCATTCCTTGGATGCAGGAATTCACCAGGACTGGCATTCCTTGGATGCAAGAATTCATCAGGACTGGCAATCCTTGGATGGAGGAATTCACCAGGATTGGCATTCCTTGGATGCAGGAATTCATCAGGATTGGCATTCCTTGGATGAAGGAATTCATCAGGATTGGCAATCCTTGGATGGAGGAATTCACCAGGATTGGCAATCCTTGGATGCAGGAATTCACCAGGATTCGAAATCCTTGGCTGCAAGAATTCATCAGGATTGGCAATCCTTGGATGGAGGAATTAATCAGGATTGGCAATCCTTGGATGGAGGAATTCATCAGGATTGGCAATCCTTGGATGGAGGAATTCATCAGGATTGGCAATCCTTGGATGCAGGAATTCACCAGGATTGGCAATCCTTGGATGGAGGAATTCATCAGGATTGGCAATCCTTGGATGGAGGAATTCATCAGGATTGGCATTCCTTGGATGCAAGAATTCACCAGGACTGGCATTTCTTGGATACAAGGATTCATCACAATTGGCATTCCTTGGATACAAGAATTCATCAGGATTGGCAATCCTTGGATGCAGGAATTCACCAGGACTGGCTTTCCTTGGATGCAAGATTCACCAGGACTGGCTTTCCTTGGATTCAACAATTAATGACAATTGGCAATCCTTGGATGCAAGAATTCATCAGGTTTGACATTTCTTGGACTCAAGAATTCACCAGGATTGGCAATCCTTGGATTCAAGAATTCACCAGGACTGGCAATCCTTGGATTCAAGAATTAATCACAATTGGCAATCCTTGGATGGAGGAAGTCATCAGGTTTGACATTTCTTGGATTCAAGAATCCACCAGGATTGACAATCCTTGGATTCAAGAATCCACCAGGATTGAAGAAGCTGACACTGCCCAGACAGAATCCTGTGTTTGAATGGAATTTATGCATCATGGACGAGGTGTATGAATATGCAACAGGCTGTTGCTTTTAAGGGTTAACCCTCTGTTAACGTGGGTCCTTTTTGGGCTTATTTTGCCCAGAAAGAGGTACCTGGACTGTCTGTAACTCTTTGTATTTATTGTCTCATATTGTCCTAAATCCAAATTGCCCAAATTATTACGACTCTGATGATATTGCTATTTTTATAACCATTTTATTACTATCAAACTTTTAAATTTTTTTAAAAACCAAGTGATTGGCGTTTTGCACACTGCTGGAGGATGTTCCCTCAGGAGCTCTCGTTGCGTTCCCAGTGCCTCAGGCTCCACGGTGGGGATTTACTGACTTCATTCCCTGCCTTGCTCACAGCTGATGAAATACAGCCCTGGCACTGCATTTTCCAAAATGCATTCAGAATTATCTGAGCAAGCTGCTGCCTGCACAAAGATGCTCACAGTGCCTGCACGCTCCTTTCCATGATTCTTTGTTAATGTTGATTTTTTTTCCCCCCCTTCAGACAACCAATTTCTTTTCCAGTGCTCCCTTTAAGAAGGCAATCATTAACAGCTGGGCTGCTCTTGTGCCTACAAATGCCTTTATTAGGGTGAAAAATGGGGCAGGATCCTTTGCTCTGCCTTCCCCACTAGCACAATGAAATACTCACCTGCTTCTTCGGAGAAATATAAAGTGCTGCAACACTGTGGATTTGACTCACAATTCAGAAATATTGGGACAAAATAAAAAAAAAAAAAGGGATGAAATAAAGCTGCCGGTTCCTCAGAGGGGCTGGGAGAATGTTCTGGCTTCTGCCAGAGCTTGGACCTGCAGGGTCTCACCCCTGATCCTCCCAGGGTGTTCCCCAAGCCATAAATCCCACCCCAGCGCGTTCCTGCCGTGCCTGAGGAGCCCCTTCAGCTCTGCCCCCCGGAATTGCTGCTTTCCCCATCAAACCGCTCCGCTCTGAGCAGGAAAACAGCCCAGGAAGGGGCAGAGAGGAGCTCAGCTCCCACACAAAGCTCCAGGCCGAGCTGAAGAGCCTCTCCAGAGCACTCTGGGGTTAATGGGGTCTTGAGGAGAATTGCTCCCACAGTGAGGGGTTGAAAAGCCCCAGCGCACGGCGCCTCCTGCTCCTGCTCACGCTGAGCCTGGCTCAAATTGCCATTTTGTGGGGCTGGGAAATCACAGCGCGGAGAAAAGTCAATAAAAATTCAATTCAGATAAAGGTCCTTTCAGCTGGGCAATGCAGGGGAATTATTGGCTCAGTGTTATGACAGTTAATGCAGTGAAATAAAAAATTGAATTTACACGTATTTAGACATTCAGACTGAATCAGCCAACAAAAAAAAAAAAAAAAATCCGCCGTTAATGAAATGAAGGTTTTCTTACACTGTCCTTTTACTTCTGACAAATGTTTGTTTTATCCTGTTAAATGTTTACCCTGGTAAAAGACACCTTTTTATATTGCCAGGAGCTGCTGGAGCACTCCCTGGAAAGTCTGGCTTCAGGTTCTCCCTTTGCTGCTGCCCCCCTCTCCCAGGGAATGTTCCTCCCCGCTTTCAGCAGGCTGCACCCCCTTTCCCAGGAGAGGAAAGGCAAGATCTGACAAGGGAGCTCCAAGGAAAAGGGCTCAGCAAGAAAGGGGGAAGCAATCCCTGAATTCTCCTCTGGCAGGGGCAGTGTCAGGCTTGGGTTCTGCCAGGAAAACACCCCAGGTCTGATTCCAGGAATGGGATGAGGCTTGGAGCAGCTCCTGGTCACAGCTGTGTCCGGGGTTGTGTCCCTGCTGTCCTTCTGGCTGTGGGGCATTTGGAGCATTTCTGTTTTTGCAGCTCCCAGTGACAGTTTTGTATTTGGGGTTGTGTCCCTGCTGTCCTTCTGGCTGTGGGGCATTTGGAACATTTCCCTTTTTGCAGCTCCCAGTAACAATTTTGTGTTTTGGGTCATGTCTGTGCTGTCCCTCTGGCTATGGGGCATTTGGAACATTTCCCTTTTTGCAGCTTCCAGTAACAGTTTTGTTTGGGGTCCTGTCCCTGCTGTCCCTCTGGCTGTGGGGCATTTGGAGCGTTTCCCTTTTTGCAGCTCCAGCAGTGTCTGTGAGTGGTGCATGATGCCCCCACAGCACATCAAGGACATGAGGAGAGGAAGATCCCCCCCATCCTCCCCAAAGTCCCCATGGACAGCAGCTCCATGGTTTGTTCCCTGCCAAGGCCAGCTCAGGGCCCTGCAGGATTCCCAAGGCAGCCTGGCTCTCTTTGGGATGCCTTTATCCCAAGAAGGAAGGGAAGGTGTTTTTCCCTCTGCTGACACCTGTGATTCCTGCAGGGACAGAGGGGCCTGACCACATCCAGTTGTGTTTAACCCCAAAGGCAGTGTTCCCACCCTTCAGAGCCCCAGAAGAGCAGGGTTTATTTTCTGTATTTCACCCCAAAAGCAGCATTCCCACCCCTCAAAGCTCCAGAGGGTTTCAGCAGGGTGTACTCATTGTAATTAACCCCAAAAGCAGCATTCCCATCCCCAGAAGGGCAGGGTTTATTTACTGTATTTAACCCCAAAAGCAGCATTCCCATCCCCAGAAGGGCAGGGTTTATTTACTGTATTTCACCCCAAAAGCCCCAGAAGGTTTATTTTCTCTATTTCACCCCAAAAGCAGCATTCCCAACCCCAGAAGAGCAGAGTTTATTTTCTGTATTTCACCCCAAAAGCAGCGTTCCCAGCCCCAGAAGGGCAGGGTTAATTTACTGTATTTAACCCCAAAAGCAGCATTCCCACTCCCCAAGGCCCCAAAAGGTTTATTTACTGTATTTAACCCCAAAAGCAGCATTCCCATCCCCAGAAGGGCAGGGTTTATTTACTGTATTTCACCCCAAAAGCCCCAGAAGGTTTATTTTCTCTATTTCACCCCAAAAGCAGCGTTCCCAGCCCCAGAAGGGCAGGGTTTATTTACTGTATTTCACCCCAAAAGCCCCAGAAGGTTTATTTTCTGTATTTCACCCCAAAAGCAGCGTTCCCATCCCCAGAAGGTTTATTTTCTGTGTTTCACCCCAAAAGCAGCATTCCCATCCCCAGAAGAGCAGGGTTTATTTTCTGTGTTTCACCCCAAAAGCAGCGTTCCCAGCCCCAGAAGAGCAGGGTTTATTTTCTGTGTTTCACCCCAAAAGCAGCGTTCCCAGCCCCAGAAGAGCAGGGTTTATTTTCTCTATTTCACCCCAAAAGCAGCATTCCCAGCCCCAGAAGAGCAGGGTTTATTTTCTGTGTTTCACCCCAAAAGCCCCAGAATGTTTATTTTCTGTGTTTCACCCCAAAAGCAGCGTTCCCATCCCCAGAAGGGCAGGGTTTATTTACTGTATTTCACCCCAAAAGCCCCAGGAGGTTTATTTTCATTATTTCACCCCAAAAGCAGCATTCCCAGCCCCAGAAGGTTTATTTTCATTATTTCACCCCAAAAGCAGCGTCCCCAGCCCCAGGAGGGCAGGCTGTACTCACAGGCGATGCGCACCGACGCCTTCCTGCTCTTGGAGGTGCCCAGGTGGCTCCAGGCCACGCACTGGCACCAGTAATCCTCAGGGCCATGGAAATCCTCCACCTGCTGCCTTGTCACGTTGATGGAGACCTCCCTCACCTTCAGCCCTGAGCGGGGAGAGGCAGAGAATCAAATCAGCAGCGACACAAAGCTGTCCTTTAATCAACAATGCCACCGTCACATGTTCTGAAAAATCCTCCTTGCCCAGGGTTTCTTCTCCTGGGAAGCTGAGAAACCTCAGAGGAAAAAAAATGAAAACAGTAATTCTCTGATTTGCTTCTCCTGTGTTTTGCTGCTCTGGAACGTGGTTGGAGATTGTTTATCCAACATGTGAATTGTTTTTACTTAATGACCAATCACAGTCAGGCTGTGTCGGACTCTGGAAGGAGTCACGAGTTTTCATCACCATTCTTTGTATCATTATCATTCTGTCTGTATCCTTTCCCTATTCTTTAGTATAGTTTTAGTATAGTATTCTTTAATATAATATAATGTAATGTAATATAATATAATATAATATAATATAATGTAATATAATGTAATATAATAATATGATATGATGTAATATAATATAATAATAAATTAGCCTTCTAAGAACACGGAGTCAGATTCATCAATTCCTCCTTCATCCTGGGGACACAGCAAAAACCACACTTTTCAATCAAGGCAAAGCCTTAATTACTTGCACAATGATGCAGTGCCACTAATTAAATTCTGTAAGATGAGCAGGTCATAGTGCACTGGGTTCCAGGAATTGCCCCTGTCACTGTGATATTTGATGCAAAATCCCTTCACCAGGATTTCTTCTTCTGGCAAGATGAGAAGCTTCAGCTTCCCCATATTTTGTTCTTCTGGAATGTGATTTGGAGAATTGTTTACCCAGCATGTGAATTGTTTTAATTTAATGACCAATCCCAGTCCAGCTGTGGCAGGACTCTGGCCAGTCGCGAGTTTTTATTCTTTATTCCTGTGTATTATTGTTTTATTATTTATTCTTGTCTGATGTCTCCTTTCTTTTTCTTTAGTATCGTTTTAGTATATCAATATAATATAATATAATATAATATAATATAATATAATGTAATGTAATGTAATATAATATAATGTAATGTAATGAATATAAATAATATAATATAAATATTATAATATAAATAATATAATATAATATAATATAATATAATATAATATAATATAATATAATACAATATATCAGCCTTTTGAGAACTTAGGGTCAATTCTCATCTCTCACCTCGTCCTGGGGACCCTCACAACACCACAACACGCCCCCACCATGATCTTTGCAACTCTTCCCTCAAAATCCTCGTCCCTGGTGCCTCCTTCACCCAGAATGTTTGTCTGGATTCAATCCCAGTACACTAAAAATGTCTTTAAAGGACATCTCCACGCCTTTGCAAACCTGTGGCCCCTCAGACCAGAGCCCAGAGGTAAATCCCAGACTCCAGGATCCTCCCACAGCTTTTCCTGTGGCACCCCTGGGATGTTCCCCAGACCTGCAGCCACCTCAGCATGGCAGCCTTGGGAGGGGAAATCCAACCCAAACCTGGCACTGGGAACCATTTGAAAGAGTCAGAAAAACATGAAACGAAAATAGAAAACATTCAGGCCTTGTTCTTCCTCCTCTCTCCTCCAGCACAGTCCCCAGGCTGTTATTTCCCCTCCACTGGAAATGGAGGCAAACCCAATCTCACCGTATTTCATGCCTGCGGAGTTTATAAAGCAGCAAGGATTCTAAACCTGAACTCCATAAAAATTGGCTTCCACTTAATCTCAGGCATCATTAACAGCTGGGCAGCCCCTCCTCAAAGGCGCTGGGAAGTCACAGTGCTCCTCTGGCAAGAGGAGGGACAGGGTTCACTGGGGATGCTCCAAGAGGGGAAGCTCAGACAAGCTTTAAATCCTGTACAAAAATACAGAATATTTGATACTTTTCCAGCAACAGCAATAGGGGATTTTTACTTCTTTTCATGAAGCCTGGCTTACAATGAAACCCAAAGACAGGGACAAACCCTCGACAGCTCCCCAAGTTGTCTCCAGAATCCCTTCAGTGCCTCAAATATTTATTCCCGTGCAACAAACAAGCACAGGTTTCCTGGCTGCTTTTTTGTTTTCCCCCCGTGTTGATGCCATTTTTAACAAAACTGTTTACAAAGCCTCCCTTTATTTCCTGACACGGAGACAACAAACCCTGAGGAACAAAGGCTCTGCCAGAGCCCCTGCCAGGAAAATGCACCCCCTGAACGAAACCATCCTTGCTCTGCCAGCCAAAAATCCTCGGATTCTGGCATGAAAATGTTTTACAGAGTGATCTGTCCAGGTTTAAGGTAAGAGAAGCTCCAGGGAGCTCCCTCAGAGGGGGCTGGAGAGCTGGGGCAGAGCAGGGATGCCCTGGCTGAGGGTTTGGGATCCCATTCCCACCAGGAGCAGCTTCCTGGGGGAAAACCCTCCCTGGATTGTGCAGAGCACCCCCAGCCCCTGCTCCCTTCCCTCCTGGGGATTTTGGGAAGCAGCAAAGAGAGGCAGAGGTGTGGGAGCTGCCCCTGCTCACCACGACAGGATTTTGATACCGAACAAGAAAAAGTCATCACTCGATGATGGATTTTGGAGAAGCTGAAGCCATTTCTTGGCTCCGGGGTGCTGCAAATTTCTGAGCAGGCGTCAGTGAATTCAGGCATTTACAGCTCCAGATTTATTAAGGTGGAATATTCTCCAGCCCAGCTCTTCCTTTCATTGACACGGCGTTTAATTAATCTATAAATCAGCCTGTATTTAATGTGGCAAACAAAGAGCACACACGGTTTGGGGAAGCTGGTGGTTCAGCGTTTTGAGAATGGGCCAGGTAGGAATTCAGGTCCGCTTAAAGGTCTCCCAATTCACCCATTGACAAAATAAATGCATCCAAAACTGCAGAATCTCGGAATTGTTGGGGCTGGACGGGACCTCTGGAGAGCACGGGGTCTTTGGGGGAAGTTGTGCTTTGTTTATGGAGAAAGTGCAGCTATTTCCATTTGTTTTAGGAATAATGACACAGAGCAAACCTATTGGGAGGAGAGGAATATTCTCCATTTATCACCCCTGTATTTCACCAGTGTTAGGAAAATGAATCCACAAACACCAGAGGTTTATGTCCAAAAAGGACACACAGGAGTCCTTTGACTTTATTCCAATACAGGCAGAGGCCATGGGGCATCCCCTGGGGTCTCTCAGAGTTTTGGAGGATGCAGCCTCCCTTTTTATCCCAATTTCCAGCCACATTTCCCTTCTCTCTTTCCCCATTTCTGAGGTACTTGAGAGGTTCAGACTCCCCAGAACACCTGATCCCAAAGATTCCCCTCTAATGTATAACCCTCCCTTTGAAATTTTAATTCTTACAGAATTTAGGGGGTTTCCCCCATTTCTGAGGTGCTTGAGAGGTTCAGACTCCCCAGAACACCTGATCCCAAAGATTCCCCTCTAATGTATAACATTTCTTTTAATTTTAAATTCTTACAGAATTTAGGGGTTTTCCCCATTGTTTCTTTCATATTTCGATGTCTAATTTTGTTTATTAGCAAACCTAAAGTTTATTTGTGAAAGCAAATCTCTTTTTCCATTCATCAATCCGTGGAATCCTTCCCATTGTTTCTTTTATCTCCCAGCGCTGGTTTTATCTATCAGCAGCCCCACAGCTTGTTTGGAAAGACAAATCCGCTATTCCTCTCAACCAACAAACACATCCACCTCCCCTCTGCACCTCGGGAACCACCGGGAAAATCCTTCATGGGGAGTGACAGCGGGTGAAAAATCCCTGCAAATCAAAGCAGGCACCTCGTAAAGCACCGCGACATTTTACCTGCGCCTCCAATAACTCCAATAAGCACTGCGAGCCCGACCCTTTAAATTATTGTGCAAATTAGAACCATCATCTTTTGTTTTACAGTAGAGCCGTGCAGAATATCAAGTGCTGGCTGTGGCACTGAAATGCTAATGGGCTCTGCTGGATGCTGGAGCTGCACAGACCCGGTGCTGGCAGCCGATGAATAATTGCTCTCCGTGTACTAAACACAACGGAGCTGCAGAGAACTTCGGCATTTGTCAGCTTTATTTGTTTAAATGAGAAAAACACTGACAGCAGTTATTGCTGTAATCCTTCCAGCTATCAGACAAGGAAACTCTGCGAGAGCGGGGCTGAGCCTCTGCTCAACCCCAACCTGAAATAGCCAGGCAGGTTCTGGAGCGTGCAGGAAATGCAGCAGAGGGAAATTAATCAGCCCTTAATTACCACACTTTCATCACAGCAGCATCCACGAGATTGGTCTCCCTTGGTGAGGCAGAGCACGGAGAGAACAAAGTCCCTGCTCTGCCACGCTGGGGAATAAACAGGAAAAGCAGAGGCCGAGCAGCAAAACCACCACAGGGACACTCCGGGTAAAGCCTTCCAGACATGCCCAGAGTCCTGCAGAACCCTCCCTGTCCTGCTGCTCAGGCTCACAGACACTCTCAGGCCTTTATTTCCCCTCCTGTAAAGTGTTCCAAACATCCCCAGAGTCCTGCAGAACCCTCCCTACCCTGCTGCTCCTGCTCACAGACACTCTTGGGCCACACTGAGGCCTTTATTCTACTCATGTAAAATGTTCCAGACATTCTCAGAGTCCTGCAGAACCCTCCCTGTCCTGCTGCTCCTGCTCACAGACACTCTTGGGCCACACTGAGGCCTTTATTCTACTCATGTAAAATGTTCCAGACATCCCCAGAGTCCTGCAGAACCCTCCCTGTCCTGCTCACAGACACTCCTGGGCCACACTGAGGCCTTTATTGCTCTCCTGTAAAACCTTCCAGACATCTTTAGAATCCTGCAGAACCCTCCCTGTCCTCCTGCTCCTGCTCACAGACACTCTTGGGCCACACTGAGGCCTTTATTCTACTCATGTAAAATGTTCCAGACATCCCCAGAGTCCTGCAGAACCCTCCCTGTCCTGCTCACAGACACTCCTGGGCCACACTGAGGCCTTTATTGCTCTCCTGTAAAACCTTCCAGACATCTTTAGAATCCTGCAAAACCCTCCCTGTCCTGCTGCTCCTGCTCACAGACACTCCTGGCTTGGTCTGA